CACATCTTGATAATTTTTCCGATTATTGTGGTGCACTGTATTGACTGAGAACTGTGTAAAATAAACTGAAATTCGGGAAATGACTAAGTATAGAGAAGAACTATGTTTTTCCGTACATACACCTCTAGTTTTTCATCCGGTATCAAATTAAGTAAAATGGTCGATAAGAAATTCATGAACATACATTTGGTGGCTAGCCTACGAACATTAAGTGAACTCACTTTATTAAATTTACTGAGTTCTGTTCTCCGAGCTAGACCAAACCATCAAACTCAGAGAACAAAACTCTATCAAAATCATCCACCTGAGCTACAAATCTTCCCCACCATTCCAAGTTCAAAGAATTGATTAATCTGAAGATTTGTATCATGAAGTTACTTCAAGAAACATATATCTAGAGACAATAAATTGAGATGAGTTCGACCACATTAAAGCATTCAAGTAGTAAGGATGTCAATTGCTAGACAATACCGAATTAATGTTTGCTCTGTTAAAATGTGAAAAATTCGAAGATTTATCAACCCCTAAAATATGTTTAAACCTATGGAAGTCAACTGTAAACAAGATTTCAAGTATGAAATTGGTTTCTATCTAACGACCAATATGTTTATAAGTTAGTGTATTGCTTAGGAAAATCAAGTTACAAATCAATGAGAAATCATTATTTACTCAACATTTTTGCAAGGATTTATTTACTAAAACAAAAATTCTAAGTTACAGGTATCCCATGAAAGTCAGTTAACTCTATCCAGTCAATTAGACTAAAGTGTAATAGATTTTAAAGAGGAAGGTCAAAGAACACATTACGTCGGGAAATAAAAGCAAATATGGAAAGGATGAATAACAGGTGGAAGGAGTTGGAAAGGATTGCCTAGGACAGGGTTGGATGTCGAATGCTGGCGAGCGGCCTATGTTCTTTCACGAGCAGTAACAGGCATAAGTGTGTAATAGATTTGAATGAAATATCATTATATTACACATTCAGTCAATATATAAACACTTTAAGATGTATCCTATAGCAGTTGCATTGTATGATATAGATTTTTTTCTCCATTTTATGACCTCATTATCCATTTAGTCGAATTTTCTACAAGATTTAAATCATTAAACGAATATTTTATATTCGTCAGCCCTGCCTGATCTAAATCTTATTTGAATTTCAGGTAAACAATGTGGTTTCGGATTTCTCTCTCTTCGTATATATGTAGATGGAGAGAGAGAGAGAGAGAGAGAGAGAGAGAGGAAACACTAACGTGTCAAGTTGCCGACAACAAATGTATCTTATAATTTTCTTCAATAATGTGAGTGACTAGACAAATTAGAAAAAAAAACGATAAGTATTTTAGTCTGTACATTTATATGTCTGTACATTTTGTAAATATACTGACATTGAATATTTAACTCAGAGAGATCAAAGTTAAATGGTTTGTTCATTTACAAGGTTATGTAAATGAATGAAAGAAAATAGCTAATAAAATAAGTAGTATCTTTTTGTCTCATTTTTATTCAGTTCTATAACTACTTTAATGTATGAAGATTTATTTCTTGGTATTCGTTTGTATTTTAATTATTTCCCATAAACATGATGAAATTATTTGGTGTCACATAATTCAGGATATTGTTATGCTTCAAGATATAAACTAATGAAATATATAGTCATAAACCGATTCATAAAGTAGCTGATCAGTAAGTGGATAATAAGTAATGCTACTATAAGCAAAAATGGATAGTGGTTAGCAGTGGAGTCCAGTTTGATGCATGTTTCGTCCCATTTAGGACTCGAACTCAGCACCGTCCGCTTCAAACGCCATCGCTTTATCCACTTAGCTCGTGCAATGAGGTGAAGTTTAAATTCACTTTGTATTGTTTACTTGTATCTTCTCATTGTTATAGGACGAAACGCGCGTCCTGGATTCCACTGCTAGCCACCATCTATCTTTGTTTAAAAAGCTTGTGACATAAGGCTATATCGAGACAATCCGAACAGGATGCACATATGCCGACAGGTGACTGATCAATTGCAGTTCTAAATAACAATGGCAAGATACAAGTAAAACAACATCAAGTGGATTTAAACTTCACCGCACTGTACAAGCAGGTGGCTATTAGGACTCAGTAGCTAGGTGGAGAATGCGATAGTGGGTTCGAGTCCCAAAGAAGACGAGACGCACGTCCTGGATTCCACTACTAGCCACTATCTATCTTTGCTTAACGAGATGTGTTTTTTCTATTTCTTAAAAGTTAATATATCTTCTGATGATAAACACGACTTTATATAGTTACCCACTATGTAGTTTTATTCTGCCGACAAATGGATATCAATTTTTTATTCATATTTAATTAAGGGTCAACATCTCATTAATAGGTTTGCAAAATATCTTACTAAATTTTTGGCTTTAAGAAGGTGTCTTTTTATATCTCGTATAATAGGTTAAATAAACAGATATACTTGATTTATTTCATTTATGAATTTAAATTAACTTATTACAACAATAATAACAACAAAAGATACCTTGTTTCATCTATTGATATCTAAATAGTATACTTATTATACAATACAAGGTTATTCATTTCAATTATTTCAGATATAAAAACGATTGTTTACAAAAGAAAAATGGTGTCAAATAAAAACAACAAAGAGATAAATAGAATATCAGTGTAGGGGTTATGGAGGTTACTAAGTTTTTGATTGAGACCGTGAGCCGATTGATGTTAGACCACCACTGAAAACCTGGAAGCATTAGAAGGCTGTTCCGTCCTATTGTGGGACTCCTCAGCAGTGCGCATCCACGGTTCCGCTCGCGAGGTTCGAACCAAGGGCCTTCAGTCTTGCGTTCGAACGCTTTGCCTCTAGACCCGTGAGCCGACATCCAATGGTGTTAATGTCTAACCTCAACCAATCCATGAAATTGCGCCAATATCTTCCATTGTACTAAGGTAGATACCTGTCTCTACGCGACACGGATTGGTTCCAATGGTCACGGTTTTCCACCAGAAGTCTGAGAATTGTCTCACGAAGTTAGTCACTAGTGAGCACATGATCCAGTAGGTTAAGCGTTTGCATGCGAGAATGAAGGCCCTGGGTTCGAATCCCGCGAGCGGGATCGTGGATACACATTACTGAGGAGTTCCACAATAGGACGAAACAGCCGTCTAGTGCTTCCAGGTTTCCAATGGTGGTCTAACACCAATCAGTTCATGATCTCAATCAAAAACTTAATAAATAGAATAGTTTAGTTTTAATGTTAAAAGGTTTATAATATCATTCATTGTTTCTTCTGTACTTCTAAGGTAAACTAATATGTTGATAATGAATGATGGTAAAATGTTAGAAAAAATTATTCAGATTTAAAAAAACATGGGTGAAACTAATGATGAGATTTATAGTTTTTGTAAATATTTGAGTTAGTTAACTATTAAAATATAACACTTAATCTGTAATACACACTGTATTCCTCAATAAACTTACATCTATCAACGTAATAATTTAAAGCTCCTAAATGCCCTGGTAAGGTCAAGGGTGGGGGGTCAGCTCTCCATCTCGAAATGCTCTCACATGGCCATACGTATACAGCCATTAACAGGGAAGTAATACTCACTATCTTCTCGTGAGAGGGGGTAGCTGTTTATGAAATTGAGAAAACGAAAAGCGAATGTCCAGCGCATTAACTGGGTTGGCGGAAGTTAGAAAACTGTGATTTCAAACCAATCGTGTACATGGGCTCCAAGATCTTGAAGGAAATCCTGTATGAACCAATCGTTGGTCACCGGTTATCATGGAACTACACCTCCTTACATTGCTCCACTGCCTTGTGGATTAGACCTTTAAGTCAAAGACTTGGGGTATGACTCTCTAAGAAAACTACCTGCTTCGCTTTGGAAACCCGGTAGAGTATCACAGTTTACATATAAATCAAGTAGCTTATGTATTCAGTTCCCCTTTATACCATGAATATGAAAAAAAGGAAGTTTCATACTAATAATTCACAATGTAATTGCCATTCAGTCAGTTAAAACGTAGGACCAGGTACATATATGTATCGGTCCAACTTGCCACACCTCATTCATTAGCACAACAAGATGAACACCAAATTCATAGAATTAATTCAATAGTAGTAATATATAAAAAAAAGATTGCCTACAACGATATGGTACAGGAAGAAAGAATTAGTTCGCAGAAAGTAAGGCATAAATCAATTTTAATCTTATAGTTTACGGGAAGATAAAAAGTGTATACATCTACACCATTGTGGTCGATTCTGAACCATGTCACTCGACCGTTGTTGCTACCTTGACGTGGTGGTCGGGCTTGCCTATATTGATGAAGCAACCGAGCTATACTGACTGGAACAACCGTTCCTCAAGGTTCTACCATGTCAGACAGGTCGGTTGAAGAGCGGTAAGACTAAAAGCAACAAACCTAGGCTCCGAAGGCGAAGTCGTACTGCTGACTGTACAGAGGTGTGACAGCAGTAACGTGTTTCCTTCAGACAACCACCATGACAGCGATGCTGCCTTCCCACAAGGAGGGTTGGGGTTAGAAAAGTTCGACCCTAAAAACGCACACCTCGCCTTATCCCACCGATGTCCGTCTCCGGCGGTAAAGTCTCAACAAGCACGGGGATAACACGAAAATTACACATAAAAAGGTCGTGTCTGACCGACCTCAAGCAGTTGTCCCTTGGACACTGCGGCCACGCTCTCGGTTCACTAAGACCACTTCTTATCCGATTCCCTTTTCAGGTACCTCCAGAAGAACCCTTCCACGGTGTGGGCAACCGGGAAGTGATAACCGCCCTCATACCTCTAACAACTGACTGACTGAACCATGTCACCAACAGTCCTTCAATCATCAGTTACGATAGTCATGTGAACTCTAACCAAATAGTCTGTAATTGTATGAGTTAACAATACATCAAGTGTGAACAATTAAACAATGGATAGTATTAAACAAAACAAACCAAAAATAACCACATACATAATAAAATGTCAAAACTTACTGTATTTATTAAATGCCTTAAATTTTGTACTAATTTATGAATACCATGACGAAATTGTGAACGTAAATGCTTAGGCCATAGATTTGCATTAGTATTATTACTATTATTATTATTATTATTTAATAATGTATCATATGAATTTGCTTTTGTTACAGATGTGAATTCATCATTATTATAATAATTTATACATAAATTTCGTACTAATATAGTCCAAGTCTTTGTTAATTGAAGTATTTGAGTTAAGCAATCAAATTCCCAATTATTATTATTAGTAGTAGTAGTATTAGTAGTAGTATTATTGTTAGTAGTAGTATTAATAGTAGTATCTTTACATAAATTGATATATTGATCAAATGGAAATGATAATAATAATGGTAAATATATATTACCCATAGATATAATTAATTTGGATGCAATACGTTGATGTATAAAATAATGATAAACATTTATTAATTCCATATGTCCAATTGTTAAATGTGATAAACAACGTAAACCTGCTTCAATTAAATCTAATGTTGAATTAAATATTGATATATTTAATAAATTATTTAATTTATTATTATCAGAAAAATAATTTAATAAATGTAATTCATTTTTTTGTTTTATTGATTGATTATTGATTATTGATGATGATGATGTTGTTGGTAATGATGAGGATACTGTTGTTGTTGTTGTTGTTATGATTGGAGATTTTGTTACATGGTAGTGATTATTATTATTATTACTATTACTATTATCATTATTATGTAATTTATTTAAACATTTTTTAACTATATTAGAATGATCATTATCATTTTTACATTGAATAGACATATTTAACATAGATTGACTAAGATTATCACAAAATGTATGATAATAATTTTTTTGTCCACTTATTTCACTATACAATATTTGCATGATTAAATCAATTCCATTATGCTGAAAATATAAAATAAAAATAGAAGTTTATAAGTGAGAAATATAAATAATATGTAATCAATATTATTTGAATATAGATATAATTATACAGTTGTAATCCAGTCCCTAAATACCCTGGCACGACCGAGAGTGGGGAGAATGAACTCTCGCTCATGAAATGTTCTTACATCGGCACGTGCATACAACCACTGCCACGAAACTTCTACTCACTTACTGTCTTATCACGGAACTACCGTTGTTTACGAAATTGAGATGAAAAGCGAATGTCCAACGCTTTAACTGGGTTAATGGACATGGAAGATCCATCTAGGAGAGTTGGAAAACCCTCAATCCAAATTAATGGTGCACATGAGCTCCAGGATCCTGAAAGAACAAATGGTGTGCAAACCAGTTATTGGTCACCGGATACCATGGAACTGCATCTCCTGACATCGCTCCACCGCCTTGTGGATCTAACCTTTAGGTTGAATGCTCCAGACATGGTCCCCTAAGAAAATCACCTGTTTCGGTTTGGGCACCCGGACAGTATCACAGAACACACACAAATAAAATGACTTGTGTGGCACATATGTATTTGGTGCCTCTTTGTACCAATATTTGTGTTCAAACAAATAAATAAACAAGTCCTGTCTCAAAGAGAGCTGGGAGTCCTGAAAATTACCAGATAGTGTACTTACCAAGATTTTAAAGATTATTCGCAAAGAATTATTTAAGCATCTTACTGAAAACCTGATATTTTTCCCAAAGTAAATTATTTTTAGGGAGGGTTATTTATTTATTACAAACTTACTCGTAGTGATGGAAAACCGTTACGTTTTGAAAGATCATAAGCTATCCACAGAAATATTTCTCGCCAAGTTCACTAAGGCTTTTAATGGAGTCCAACCCACTAGACTTAATCCACTTCGGTAATATCAGAATCAAGATAAATTTATTTCCATAAAAAAAAACAATTTTTATCAGTACGCAAACAGAAATTTAAATTCAAGTTCTCTGGTGGGAAGTGCTTAGTGGAGCACTCCAAAGAACAATCTTGGGATTAGTGTTACTACTCTGGAATGTTATTGACAGTACCAGCTTTCTGTCAGTATCAGTCTTGTTAAAACGAAGAGGACAATGAAGAGCTTCAGAAAGACCTACGGAAATTAACGGAATGGACTAATATTTAGCAATGACAAAGTATACTGTTATGCATACTGGCCACCGCGGCACATATAATTATATGGTCAATAACGTTGAGTTATCCATTGTCCAGAAACAGTGATTTAGGTCATTATCATTCAACATTTGAAAACCACAATACACTGTTATACAGTGACTGTTGAGGGTTTTAGAATAATCTAGTCAATACATAGAGCTTACAGCTAATATGTTTTGGGAGACTTATGACATTTGTACAGCCTTTCCTTGAACAAAACCCGTGTTGCGAACAGCCTGACCGTCTGAAAAAGGCTTACGTAACGTCAACTGATTTAATTCCTGGAATCTTAGACATGGTACGTGAAGAGGTTGGTAGAAATAGGGCCTTTCAACTGTCCTGAGTTTGATGAGAATCTACTCTCCTACCAGGGATACACTTATACAACCTTCGGAAGGGAAATCCTACTCATTGCCTTCAGGTGGAGAGGTGCACTTTGCGAAAAGGGACAGAAATCGGACGTCCGGTGAGATAACTGGGTTGGTGGATACTGAAGGTACACGCAAGACGATTTTTTAAAAAGCGTTGCTGAAATGAAGCGGAAAATACGCGGAAACAAAACTCTGGTACGATGTCGGTTCCCACTAGTCGACAAGACTAAATAGGTGTGTAAGTAATGTAGGAGCTACAGAACTGTTAAAAAGACTAGTGTTGACCACTAACATTGGTGGATAATGTTACACACTTAACTTTTGTTAAGCGTTAAAGGACACGGGAATCTTAACTGCTTAATATTAAGTTATTGGTTCTAGATCAGATGATATAATGTAACCACCATATTGATGTTGGATACATTCAAAAACTTTAAGAATTCCTGCTCGCGAACAAATGGAGGCTAGTATTATTTGGACTACCAGTAGTTACAAATTTGTACTATAGAATAATGATACAATACATGTGAAATCATGCCACTAAACTAACTTATATAGTCAAGTGATTTTAAGCTATAGTTTCAGAAAAAAAATAAAGATTGAATTCAATTAACTCATTCTCCAAGCACTTGGTTATGAACCGCACTAACAGTGAAGGCCATTGATGTTACCAGGTTACCAAAATAGAAGTAAGTGAAGCGGCGTTCGACCTAGGACTTGAAAACAGAACGTCTTATCACTAGGCCACCGCTCCATTCTTGATTAATTAGAGGAAGTAAAAGACCACCAAACATTTAAAAGTGCGAATTAGAACAAGATTCAAGGAATTTTTTGAAGACTTACCCGAACAATGTAGGACTTTGCAGCATTATTCCTACATGTTAAATTTGCTAGTGCTCCTAGAACACACCGGGACACAGGAGTATCACCTCCAGTATTGGTTGAATAGTAAGCTCCATAGCTATCACTACATATGTTGAGTCTCAGTTGATGAAGAAGCTGTCTTACTACACTGACGGAGACATCCGATGTTATATTATTTACGGCAATATCTGAAAGATTTCGCATAGTCCATAGGGCATTTGTTATTACTCGCGATGAGTGACATTCTAAACAATGAGTAAAGAAATCTAAATGTGGATCTTGAGCAATTATTTCATATTTGACGGGAATCCATGCAGACAAAACTCGAAGAAGTCTGGTAGCCGTCCATAGAACTTTTTCGTAAGTTGAAATCATGATAACTTTGAGAAGGGAAGATAGTCCACCTTGTTCCTTAAACGTTTTTTTCGTACTTTCAGATCTGTATGCTAATATATACAAGCAATCACAGAGAACTGCCAAGAACTTTGGATTGATACTTTGCTGAAAGTTTGATAATGTTAATGAACATGGTGTGTCTGATTTCACGTGATCAACAGAATAATTTAGAAGATTTATTAAACGATTAGAAATGCATGTTCGGTTAATGAGACCTTTAGCTGTTTTGTGACTTAGTAAGATGTTATGTAGGGCAGTCACACAGAAGTATAAAACAGATTCGAAAGGGAAAAGCAGAAGCCCGTTAATGACATCAAGCCCTCCATTGTGCACTATCATGACCAGTCCATCTGGGCATTGTGAAAAATAGTTTATAACGCCGCTCATGCAATGAATAACATCTACGTACTTACTAGAAGAACGGCAAAATACAGGTATCTTTACATTATAGAAAACATCTGGACATATACGGGCGATAAATGACGCGTATCCACACCTACATAAATTGAATAAATAAGTACATGCGTTAAGACTGATGTCAATATCCACATTAGAAAGACACTGTACTGCCTGTATAACTGTCACGGAATGTGTTTCATAAAAAGAAAGTAGATCACAGTATAAATATTCAGCATCATCTGGACGTTCGAAATTGAAGGCCACCGATGTGTTACATGAGGCCGGAGTCTCCACACTGACTCCGGAGTCGGAATTATACAAAGACGAAGAGTCACTCCCACTGCTGTCAAAACCAACTTCAAAGTCCATTGTCACCTTGCCTTCTGATAGGATGGTCATATTCCACCAATTGCTTGTTATGGATCGACATCGACCACGATGATCTCAGAACTAAAGTTAAACAGGGCCGAAGGTCAAAACTCTAAGTAGTGGTGTTGACAAACAAATATTCAACATCCCAAATAAAAAAATCTTCTAATACCTAATATCCTCATAAATTGTTGAGAGAAACAAGCAGGTTTTTACTTATTTCAGTCATTCGTTTGCGATGGAATTCCATCACTTTTGATACGAGAAAATCCGTTAATCTTAGCAGAGAATGATGCCGAAAAAGCTGAAGCTTTATCGGAATACTTTAGTAAAGTGTTCTCTATCGATAATGAGGAACGACCATTGATTCGTTGCGACCGTGACGGCTCGCTGATGGATCCTGTAGTCATTGAGAAAGATACTGTTTTAAGGCTACTCCAGCATCTCAAACCTGATAAGTCCAGTGGTCCTGATGATATTCATCCTAGGATTATGAAAGCCATATCAGATAAAATTGCTGAACCATTAGCGATACTATTCGACATGTCTCTGAGTCAGTCCAAACTGCCTAGAGACTGGAAAGACGCCATAATAAGTCCGGTGTATAAGGCTGGGGGTAGGGATTTAGTTAGTAACTATAGACCCGTTAGCTTAACTAGTGCAGTTGTAAAACTGATGGCGAAAATCATTCGGATAGCTGTTATAAACTATGTTGAAGGGCGAAATCTTTTCTACAGGGAACAACAAGGTTTTCGGAAAGGCCTATCTTGCTTGACAAATCTTCTCATTGCACGAGAAGATTGGGCTGCGGCAAAGGATCGGAATGCTCCTGTGGATGTGATTTTCATAGATCTAAGTAAAGCCTTTGATAAGGTTTCCCACTCTGGTCTTAAATTCAAACTGAAACGTTTTGGAATCCATTATACAGTCGTCGATTGGATAAGTAACTTTCTCCATGACAGGAGACAAATTTTAAGGGTTAATGGGGCTCTCTCCTCGTGGGTACCTGTAAAAAGTGAGGTTCCCCAAGGTACAATCCTGGGTCCTCTTCTCTTTTTACTTTATGTAAATCAATCGCCAACTGCAGCAAAATCATCCGTTCTACTCTTCGCTGATGACATAAAGATTTGGAGACCCATACATAGTATGTCGGATAGGATAGTATTACAGGACGATCTTAGCTCATTGGTGGCATGGTTAGATAGGTGGTCACTAGAAGTAAATCCTAATAAGAGTGTAGTGATGCAGTTAAATAACTCTGATGAATTGCATGACTATACACTACGTGGATTCGTGCTACCCAAAGTAAGAAACTATAAAGATTTAGGAGTCATATTAAGCAATGATCTCAAAACGACTAGTCACTGTAAGGCTGCTGCTGCGAAAGGCTATAGGGTATTATGGTCAATTCGTAGGTCTTTCAAGTATTTAGATGATGAAATGTTTAGATTACTATACCCGATTTATGTGCGACCACATTTAGAATACAGGATTCAAGCAGCGTGTCCTTGTTTCAAATATGAAGCAGATATGCTAGAAAGAGTCCAACGACGAGCTACTAAGATGGTACAAGGTCTATCTGGCCTATCTTATGAAGACAGACTGAGGCACCTTAACTTATTCCCGTTATCTTACCGTAGAATAAGGGGTGATCTAATATTGGCCTATCGTATACTGAACGATGACCTTGGTATCAACATGTCTTATCTTTTGCTCCCGTCTAGAACCGATCATTTGAGAGGACATTCGAAGAAAGTTCAAAAACCAAGATCAAACCGTTTACGTCTGGAGTTCCGTTTCTCGCACCGAGTAGTGAATTACTGGAATTCTCTACCGGAACACGTAATATCAGCACCATCTGTTAATATATTCAAAACGAGATTGGACCTCCACAGTATTACAAACTGCAAGGATTAATACAGGTCGACAGACTTCCTATCCTTATTGCTGAAGACTGAAGACAAACAGCCCCTTCTGATAATCAGAGGAACAACTAAAATAAGCACATGAAATGTTTGAAAAATGTGAGGGACCGTGAGGATCATTCTAATAGTGATGAGAATGAGAAAACAGGACCTTAGTCTGCTTTGAATAAGTGAAACTCATTGGAAAAGTTGATATGAAAAGACCAGCTTCGGGAATGGTGCTATTGTATTCTGGTCTTGAAGGAGAAAATGACTCGCTGATGCTCCACTTATATAATGAGAATCTTGTTGCTCCGTGATCATTAAACTATCCTTCAAAACAATGAAAGGGTTGCAGTAAATGACATGCGGTGTTGCTCAGTCATCAATGATTTCAGTGAGGATGATAATTCCAGCTTTGTAAGACTGCGGTTCATCGCGAAGAACCTCCCGAAAAAATTCAACCATACTGATTCGGGACTTAAATGTCAAGGCCGGTGTTGTAAACACCAGCTAGTGAAATATCATGGAGCAACATGGGCTGGGAGAAAGAAACGAGAATGTTGAGTGAGTGGTACATATGAGTGTCCTCAACTACACGGGATCATTTTGCCTCACAAGTGAATACATAAAACTTCATGTGTCTCACAAAACACTTTAAGGAAAACCAAATCTTTCATGTGTGAATCAATAAAAGATTCAGAAGGTCCATGGAAGACCTAAGCACAAAAAGAGAATCTGATCTGACCTCAGATCGCCACCTGGTGATGGTTAAACTGGAACTAAAGCTAAAAAGGCATTGGACAACCGGGTAGGCACCATTAAAAAGTTTGATGTTGTCTTCCTTTGAGGCGTAAACAAACTCATCGGACTCAAGATAGCTCTCCGCATTAAGTTTCAAGTCTTAGAAGATCTAGAGAGAGGAACTACTATGAAGAACAGTTGAAGAAGAATTAAAGAAGCGATAACTTTAACATGACAGGAAGTGATGGAGTGCAAGAGGCATCAATACAAAAAATAGATCTTTGTAGACAGTATGGGTAGGATTCAAGAAAGGAAGTTTAAGAAAGCAGAAGTCGACAGCATTCAAACAGAGCAAAGGGGGCTAAAACAGACCGAATTCGCAGAAGCAGGCAACCATGTGGAGAAGAGCATCAAAGCCTTGAGTGGAAATATGTGGAAAACGTAGCAACGATAGCGGAAAAAGCTGTAAAATATATGGGAGCTATATGATGCAAATATGAAGCTAGCACAGAAATATGGCAAATCCGAGCTACCCGGCAAGGGAAGAGAACGTAGGTCAATCAACGAAGTTCGACAGCAGCGTGAAAGGTGGGTAGGACACTCGAAAGAGCTTTGGAATAAACCGGCGTCATTGAACCTAACGGAACTCGAAGAAGCACACACGGACTACCCTATGGATGATACGTCACTAATAATCTAAATCCGTAAGGCCATCTTGCAAATCAAGAATCACAAAGAAGCATAACCAGATACCATATCGGCTGAAGCACTGAAGTTAGATATAGGGGTAACTGATAAGGTTCATCAGACGCCAAACAAAGGAGGTGATGTTAGTTGAAGGAAAACGCATATTTTATTTAAGCCAGAGGCAAAGGAATATGAAACATCTGTGCTGTATGGAGAAAAATGGACAGACATCTCGAATTAGATCCGCTGCAATCAGATGAAGAACCTGAACAGTAGTTTCTCATTCCAAAAAGGCTGTTTAAACTAATGAGATAAGAATCAATATCGAATGCTTGCAAAACTATTTAGTTTAGAGAGTTACTTACTCGTGAACATTCTAGTAATAAGGTTATAGTCAGCTCACCTAGAAGTACATCCCGGTGTGTAAAGTAAATGAAAATCAAAGCCTCTTTTTAATTTTATCTCACTGACGAGAGGCTGCTCAGCGGTTACGCAATGGATTTCTGTCGTAGTTTTCATGCAGAAACAGACTTTTAGGGTGAATCGAACTGCTTAGGATGTTGTAACTAATGATTCTGTAGCCTGTTATTTTTCTGTATTTCAGTAAGAATAGTCCATTTGCCAAATTTGATTTTATGTGGTTTCTCCTTTGATCTTTCGATTTGGCTGGGGTGTGCACGATCGATTTGGTTTGTGATTAGATGTTGGTTCATCGTTGATATTTGCGTAGCCATTGTAGCGAAAATAGGCAGTAGCTCGCGTGTTATACAGATTGTAATAACTACTTGGTCAACTGTTTTCTTGTATCACTGAATAAAAATGAAAAGAATTCGGCGAAGGAATTTTTCTCCTATAAGTATCCGTTTTTGTAACAGACTTTTAATGATGGTCGTATCTCGTCTGTTTTTCAATTAATTTTTGTGGGACTTATAATGAATCAATTGGGTTGCGTTACGTTTATGCAAGTTATATATTATCCATTTCTTAATATTGGATGAGTACCTTAATTGCAAGGCTGTAGCTGACGACAGCATAGAATAATTTTCATACAATGTCCTCTGATTAAAGTATAAATGCACTCTGTCGAATTAATTTGTAGAGTCACTTGTAGGCCCAAATTTATACTCCTCTTGAAGCCTCCACAAATTTCAGATGACACTTAAGTCTGGATCAATTAATGATCTTTTATTCCACATTTTTACCTTCGAAGAATACTTTATACATCTGTTTCTTGTCGTACGAGATCCATGCCGTCTTAATGGTTCTTTTCAAAGTTCCTTAAAAGTTGACAGGTTCTATCTAACGCCATCCCAAAAGATCGACATATTAAAGACGGTATAAGTAATCCCTTTTAAAAGCTGATTCAAAGGAGGTAGGGTGGTGTTTCTGACCAGAAGAATGATGGTGGGGAGATAACCTCTATAAATCATGTCATCAGGGCAGAACATTGTTAAATTGCGGCTCCTTCTTGTCTTGTGTGGTGTCACGAACCATTGGTATTTATGATAATTTTCTATGCCAAGTACCTCTATGACTCATGTCTGTAATCTTGAATCGGTTTCGTGTCCTAACGGGAAATCCTATAGCAAGCAAAACTGGGCAATTACGATAAATGGGAGTTCACTCAGGACTCCGCAAAAGTTATAAGAATAAAAATGAGTTATAATAATTTTAACCAAAAGAGCCAGTTGATAT